CAAAAAAAAAAAAAAAAAAAAAAATCAGGAAGTAAGAGAGGGCATGACAGTTCTAGGAACTGCAAGAAACTTGGTCCAGTTTGTGCTCAGAGGGAGAGGTGGGAAGTAGCAAGAGATGGCACCAGGCTAGCTACCCTCAGAGCTTGGACTTCATCCTGGAGCCAATGCGGGCTCTATCATTGGGTTTTCCTTCCAGAGGAGGAAATGATCAGAACCTCTCACAGGGCTGTCTTGGGTGCATAGTGCCACAGCTGCCAACAACAAAAAAGATGCCGGATCCTTGAGAACATTTGAGTCCATCAACACCTGATCATCTTACAGGCTGGTCCAAAGGAAGCACTTTGGCCATCTTTTTCTGGCTATAAAAACAGAGTCTTGGTGTCCTGATATTACTAAAACCCTCATAAATTGAGAAGATGTATTTTGGACTTCAGAGCATGTCAAAAATCACATAATGTTTCTAGACTAATTCTAGTTCAGTAGACTCATGTTAGTGGCACCTGAGAATTACCTGGGAAATTTTGAAAGAAATGTTGATGCCGGGGCCACCCTCAAAGATTCTGGTTCAATTGACTGGGGTGGAGCTGGGCATTGGCAGTTTTTAAAGATCCCCACATGGTCCCCTGTGCAGTCAGATGTTTTATTTTTCTCTATTTGCCCATTTATTCAGTGCAGTTGGGTTTTGTTCCCTGTGCCCTGGAAGCACATTTTTGGAATGGAAATGCTGCTGGAAAAAAAGCAGGTGGCTCCAGGCTCCAGGGTCCTGGCCCATCTCCCCTCATTGCCCCTCCCCATGAAATGCCATCCATCAGGAGCACTGAGCAACAGTCCCCCTAAATACTTCCCAAGGTGCTGCCGTGTTTCGTTCCTTCCACACTGAGACAGGAAATTGTTAACTCAGAGTCCCTGGGTTGTTTCTTGAAGCAATTAACAGCTGCCCCGGTGTTAATTCCGAGTCAATAGCCCCTCGAGGCTGCTGCTCTTACAGCTGTCGGCTTCTGGCCTCCACAGCACATTTTGAAAGTAACTTGATGGGGCAGTGAGACTCTGCCCCTTCTGCACTCCCTGGGAAAGCCTTCACCAGGCTTCCTGCGGGGACACCAAGTGCCCCAGGGACTAGGCAAGCCAGCAGGGGGCTCCACCCACCTCTTTCGTGTCAGATGACAACTTGGGAGACTGGCAGAACCAACTCCCCTCTGCAGAGACAGCCCCTAGAGATATTCATGAAGCTTTCGTTTGTTTGTTTTGGCTTTTCTGGAATTCCTTTTTCTGTTTGTTTTGAGATGGCTGTATTTTTCCTTCATGTAAAAACCCCTCCTTCAACTCAGTCTGTGATTTCAATCACAGAGCCACACAATTTCTGACATCTTGCCTGTGCTGCTTCCTCCAGCTCCCTGTGGACAGAATGAGACTCGAGAGGATGGTAAAATAATCCAACTGCCTCCCTGCAAGACAGGAGCCTGGATCGTGCCGGCCATCATGGCCTGCTACCTCCTGGTGGCAAACATCCTGCTGGTCAACCTCCTCATCGCTGTCTTTAAGTAAGAATGTCCTTCTTCAGAGCCCTTGGAATGGGGTAGGGAGACTGAGGCAGGAGCGGGGCACGGCGCTCCGGAAAGCAGGGGTTTTCCTCACTTGATTCTCTCTGGTCTCCATTTCAGCAATACATTTTTTGAGGTAAAATCAATATCCAACCAAGTGTGGAAGTTTCAGAGGTACCAGCTCATCATGACTTTCCATGAAAGGCCCGTTCTGCCCCCACCTCTGATCATATTCAGCCACATGACCATGATATTCCAGCACCTGTGTTGCCGATGGAGAAAACACGAGAGTGACCCAGATGAAAGGGACTATGGCCTGAGTAAGCTTTGAGAGACAACCCCCCGCAACTACAGAGCAGAAATCCCCACCACGTCTATAGGTGGTCGTGCAGGACCACTGGGCACCTGGGTCCTCCTGCTTCCTGCCCACAGCTCCGAAGACTTGGGAGGGATGGGAGGGTATGCATGATGAGAAATGGTGCTGGAAGGGAGACAGGAGAGGCTTAAAGCGAGCACTCTTAGCCTCACACCTTTCTTAGTGAGATAAACCCAGGCTCCAGCAGGGCTGATTTAGCACCTTCATAGGTTCTAAGCTTCTTACTTTACAGACATCCCACCACAAGATATATCAACCATGTTAATATGTTCCCAATGCTGCAGTATATATAATTTAAGCATCCTGGCATGAGTTGAGTTGTAGGTGACTAAGTTTGATTTTCCATGGTCATTTTTGGATCTGTCATGTTTTTAGGTCTTAAACATTTCCCAAGCCTTAAGGGTTGTGCCTATATGGCTTCATGAGGAAACCAGTCCTGCTTTCCATGATTCCAAGGACAAAAAAAAAAGACCCTCCACCAACCACCTTCTAGCCCAGTGTTTCTGAAAGGAGATTAGATTGACATTGGGGTGGAATAATTCTTCATTATATAGGATTGTTCCACATATTGCAGGAGATTTAGCACATCAGGCCTCCACACATTGAATACTAATAGCTCCTGCAGATTCCTAATATCCCCTGGGTACCACCCACAGTTAAGAACCATTGGGAATCCAGCCCCCATACAAGCAACCTACCGTGGTTTCTCAAAGTGTGTCAAATAGACTACCTACACTAAATCTACTGAACCAGAGCCTCTAGGATTGTGGCCCAAGAAATACCTCCAGGTGATCACTAGTGCAACTAAAGTTTGAAACCAAAGCCACTTAATAATCAACTGCTTCTCTAAGTCTGAAGCTTTTAACAACTTCTCTGAGACGGCAATGCCTGACTTCTTTCGAGACATTAAAATTGGAAAGTTGGAGAGGGGTTAAGAATTCCAAAATTCACTATTTCCATTTGAAACACCCATTTAGGCAAGTAGAAAGCTCCGGGGGAGAAAAGGTTCAGATTTCCACTGGGCTCTTTCTACCACTGATTCAGTTATGAATTTGTTTACCAGCTATAAATAGAAGACCAGACTAACAGTTACACAAATATGTAAGGTTTTACTTTTCTCACACAACAAAAAGTGAAAAGGTAAATAAATAGCCCAGAGCTCAACAATGACTCACTGAAGTCAAAGACCCCAAGTCAGCTATTCCTTGTCAGACTGTCTTGTCTCATGGTAGCAAAATAGCTGCTGCACTTCCAGTCATCACATTCATGTTCAGGGCAGAAAGAAGCATGAAGGTGAAAAAAGGTAGAAAGAAGCAGCCACATACTTATAGTTTATCAGGAAAGCAAAATCTCTTCTCAATACACAACCCTTTCCTGCAGCAGGTTTTTTTTGTTCCTTGAGCCAAACTGGGTCTCATGGTTGTTGCTAGCTTGAAGGGACACTGGAAACGTGTATTTGGCTTTCCAGTCTCAGTAGTGGGAAGAGGGAAGAGGGAAAAGGGAACTTGGGTTGCAAAGGGCTTTTAGTAAGGTGAATGAACAGTGTCTGTCTGCCACACTCCTCAGCCCAGAAGTTGAGTTTTTAAGAAACCTCCATTCTCTGCATAGCTTCCCTTTCCTTTATTTAGCTACATTCTTGTCCTTACAATATATATAATTCTAACCGGTCTCTGCAGTAAACCAGGTATACTCAGGTGAGCTTCAGAGACCCATAATGAATCTAACACAGAGAAAGAGGACAGTGACGCAAGTTGCCTGACCAGATTTGGATTTAGTTTGAGACTCAGTGAAGAATCTGGGCCCCATTCCCTAACCTTGAGTTAGATTAGGAATGTCATTCGACCCACAAGTCAGGTGGCATCGCTTTTACTTCTGTGCCTCATATCTCTCATTTCTTTTCCGCAGAGCTCTTCATAACTGATGATGAGCTCAAGAAAGTACATGATTTTGAAGAGCAGTGCATAGAGGAATATTTCAGAGAAAAGGATGACCGATTCAACTCGTCCAATGATGAGAGGATACGAGTGACTTCAGAAAGGTGTGTTCCCATGGGTACAAGCCTCCTGGGGTTGTTTTATACCATGGCATGCCTTGTCAATTGATTTTGTTTGCAGGGCCACAAAAAAACAGAGACCCCGTTGTGCTTATTTTTATTGTCCAAGAAATCATCGAGCTTACGAGAGAACAGAATGTTGTCTGAAATGTCTATAGATCAAAGTCCCAGACTTACAGACCCTAGACTTCTCCAGCAGGCAGTAGCAGCCGCCTTCCTAGACACTAGAGATTGTTGAGTCCAGGAAAGGGCAAGAGTTGCTGGCTCAGACCAGAAATTGCAAAGTTCTGACCCAGACATAAACCAAGAGAGACCCAGCCCAACTCAAGGCTCTCCATCAAGTTTGTGTTTCATGTAGATCACTGAGCATCTTCTCCAAAGGTGAGGATGGTCCTAGTGCCTGGCTTATATGGGTGCCCAATACCTTCTGAATAAACAATAGCAAGAGACTTGTGAATTAGATAGAATAATGGTTGAGGGTTTTTTTTCCCAATTGTTTTTTTTTTCTTCTTATAGAACAAGATAAAAGCAAAGAAATAAAGGCAGATGTTTTACTTACTTACTATATAATTTTAGATCTCATTGGCCAAATCGTTTTGTAGACCAGTAGGGCTGTAAGAAAAAAATCTCAAAATGAGGAGAAGAGAATCCTTTAAGGTTAATAAATCTAAGTTTATGTAAATGAACTTACATTTTCTTATTTTCCCCATTTTTCTGTAGACTAATACAAACTTCATTCCAGGCTGGTGCTCAAAACCCAGCATTTAGGAACTACTCTTCTAAAGAACACCCCAAGCGTTACAAAGCATTAGTGTAACTTTAAATTTTAAGCACTTTCAGTATAAAGATGGCAGAGGCAAATTATAAATAATGGGAAAAGGATGATATACTGATGACTTCAGATGATATATGACTCAGACTTCTAAGATTTGAGTCAGTTGCCTCTAGTTTTCATGAAATGACATTTTGCCTGCTTACCCATGTCATACATTTTCTCTAGCGGCTCTGTAGAAATTACACAAATGGCATTTTTCTGTCCCTGGCCCTTTATTTCTTTAAAGAATGCAGTCTAGATAAGTGAGTATATACACATATGCTATTGAGTGATTGTATCCATAGGTACTCAGCCAATATTAATAAAGTTTAAAGCCATGCACAGATTTTATACACATCTGTCATTGCAAAATAGAGCATTTTATGATGATATGGTGTGAAGCAATTTTCCAGCAAACAGAGGAAGGAGCTGCAAATCTAAAGATCTCTCTCATGCTGAGGCCTTGAAAAAGCTATTTATTAATGGACATATAGCCATGTGGTTCCCAGAAAATTGTGCCCTGTGGACACATTGTCCATTGCTCAGACATATTTCCAAAGCATATGTTTGAAATGCTTTTTGGATTCAGAAAACCACAGACCTGGGAGGAAAGAAAGGTAGGGGAAGGAGTGTTAAGATGCAAGGAAGTCTTTGTCTTTCTTTCTGGGGAACTAGAATGAGAGTTACAGACACCAGGGCATGTAAACTGTGACCTTGTCACCAATTCCTTTTGGATGGAAACATAAAGGAACTATAGCACCTCCAACTGAGGCTCTCACCCCACACCTACAAACGCTTCCAGGAGACTCCTTCCCCAAGGCCCTATTCTTCTGTGGGTGGTTACAGAGCTCCACCCTTGAGAGCATGACCAAGATGAACAATTCCCAGAAATCAGGACAGCGTGCAGGCCCACCCTCCCTGTGTCCCAGGCGTTAGCTGACCTCCTGGAGTAACACTGGCCTCGAGGACCAGGACGAGTTCTCGGCCAAGCCCAGGTGCCAGAGAAGTGAACTTAAACCCAGGCCACATTCTGCTTCTGTTGCTTCCGTCTGTGTTTATTTGAGGTTTTGCTTTTGTTGTTGGTGGTGGTAGTTTTGGTTTGTTTTGCATTTGTAAATGTACCCGAAAATAACATCTTTAAACACTAGGATTATACTCAGCACAATAGAAGCACCACGAGGTGCATAAGGGAATCAACCAAGGGAAGAGTGGGTCCATGTTACCAATCTCACACATTCTCTAGGCCATGTCCTTTCTAAGTGGAGTGGCATGTGAAATCACCTGTCCTGTTTTACATTAGCTAGCTAGCTAGATGGATAGATAGATGGATAGAGAGTGATAAATAGATAAATATGTATAAACTCACATTTGAATACATATGTTAAATTTACATAAGTTAACTGTGCACATTCTATATAGTATATAAAATATCTTATAATTTTCTCTTCATGTTAGATAACCTCAATACAGAGATTTGAAATCAGAAAAATTAAGAGCTGGTTCTTTGCTCTACTAAAAACTTGGGAAAAGGGTTTTTTCACATAGTGAGCCCCATCCTTCTCCCCCTGCTACTGCCTTTAAAGTACAATTTATTTACACATGTTCTATTTGCATGAATCTTTTTAGAAATACAAAGATACTTCCATAATTGTCTATTTAAATGGATCATTATTAAATCATATTTTTGTCACCGAATGGTATGTATAGGGCTCAATACAATATTCAGGAGATCATTAACACCTTGGAGGAACTTGATCCTGAAAAATCCTTCACTTTCCCATTTTTATATAGCAATGACCATGATGTATCTAAAGCAATACAGTTCCAGAATATAATGAGCTAATTGATTGTAACCAGTGCCCTCACTTATTTGGGACAATATCTAGCTGGTGGTAATTATATTAAAATAACCAAATTTCTAAGCTATTAAGCAACATTGGTGACTGGCTGCTTTTCTGAGGATTTTTTGACTATTGGCTGAATATAACCAATCCTTGGAGTTTGTTCCATCAAATTCTGTGCTCATCGTCCTTTAACTAGTTCAGTTCTGTTTCAGTACATGCATACTGGACCTTTACTGTATACCAGACAATAAGGCAGGGCCCTGTCCTCAAAAAACACAGTCTCATTGAGTTCCAGTGTACACCCGAGGCAGGAACAACCAGAAACATATAACTCAGTGTTGTCAAACTTTAGAAGGCCTGAAAATCATCTGGAAGGCTTGTTACTACATAGGTTGCTGGGCATCCGTCCCCACTCCAGGTTTCTGATTCACTATGTCTAAGGTGGGGCCTGAGAATGTGAATTTCTAATAAGTTCCCAGGTGATGCTGATGCTGGTTCTGGACCACACTTTGGGGACCACGAATAGAATACGATGGACAAGATAAAAGTTAAAGTAGGAGAGGACAGTGCAAAATTATTCACTGTGGAACATACAAAATTCGGCACCTTACATTCAGAATAAGTTCGGGAGGTCAGTGAATACAGATTACTTGTACCCAAAGCAGTGTTTCTCTCCCACACCTGACCAACAGCACTTTGACAAGCAGGTACTGAGCAGGGCCTGGGTTAGGGGTGGGGATATAAGGACTTTGCCTTGAAAGAATGCATAGTTGTTACACTCAGCCTCTATTTGAGCACCTCCTAGAAAGAGGAGAAATTGCCTTAGATACCAGCCTTATGAATAAATACAGAAAAAAATTAAATCCATTTCTCTCTGAGAAGGTATTTTACATAGGTGAAGATCACTATCATCTCCCCACTTTGCTTTGTCTTTTCTAAACTAAATATCCCAAGATCTTTTAACCACTTACCATGCATACAGCAGGTCTCCCACTACCCTGCTCACTTTCTCAGTATGCACTTTAAATTGTCAACGTCACCCTTTAAATGTGGTCTCTAAATGGAACTTAATTCTGTGTTTTAGTTAGAGCCTAGATTCAATTCCTTTATTCGTTCATTTACTGTTTTTGTCATCTACTATATGCTAGGCTAATAATCATAGAGTACAATAGAACAAGCAGTTCTTTTCATGTTACAAGAGAAAGAACACAGTATAATGGAAAGATTTTAATACTAATTCTGCAGTAACTAGCTGTGTGACCTTGAACAAGTTACTTAACTCCTCTGAACCTATGTCCCCATGTGTAAAATGAAGTATTAATACCTAACTGTAGAATCTTAAAAGTTATTGAGATAACATATATGAGATATTATGCTTTCAGTAACTGGTAGTTATTGTTTGATCCATACATTTTATTTGCTATGAGATTGCATTACAATCATAGCAGCCAAGTCATGTCTTTGGTTCAGAGTGAGACTACAATTAATTAAAACCAGGGCTTTTGGGGCTTCCCTGGTGGCGCAGTGGTTGAGAGTCCGCCTACCAATGCAGGGGACACGGGTTCGTGCCCCGGTCCAGGAAGCCTCACTTTCAAATTCTCTTCGCAGCCTTACTTCAGTATATTTTTGGACAAAAGCTGTCATTGATAACTCTGCAGGCTTGTGAATTACAGTGGCCCTGAGCTCCTTTTCTCCCCTCGCTTTCTTGTGAGCTGGCCGCCATCCCGCAGGATTGCTTCAGACCCTAGTCTGGTTCAGGCACGGCATGCTGAGGCTTTGGTTCATTCTTCTT